AAGATTGCTAAGGTGATTGGTAAGAATGGTATTAGTAATGTATGACTAATGTGATGGAGACCAGGACAGGGTGGACCGGGGACAAGACTGGGCAGGATTCAACCAAAGTGACAAGCACTGCAAAGCAGTGTTCACTGCGCTAGACTAACTGGAGATATGGGATTGGTGAGGCTGAGGCCAGACTGAATGAACATGAGGCTGAGTCCAGCCAGGGTTGAGACACAACTTTGACACATATCTGCAAAGATTGAATTGACAAACCACTGGAAGGTGGCCAGGGCATTGGTAAGACCAAAAGGCATCACCAACCACTCATAGGACCCATAGCATGTTCTAAAGACCATTTTCCACTCATCACTGGGTGCAATCCAGACAAGGTGGTATGTGTGCCTCAAGTCGACTATAGTGTGGATCTTGGTGTGACTAGGGGAGTCTAGTAGGTCAGAAATTAGTGGTAGGAGGTACCAGTCTTTCTTGGTGAGTTTGTTAAGCCCCTGGAAGTCAACACATAACTGGAGTGAACTGTCCTTCTTTTTTATGAAGAGGACCAGTGCAGCATAGAGGGAAGAAGTGGGCTGGATGAAACCAGTAGTCAGGTTTTCATCAATGAAAGCCCAGAGAGCTTGCAGCTCAACTGGGGATGGTGAGTAGATGGTTCCAACAGGTGGAGTAGTACCTTCTTCCAATTCAATCTTAACATTGTACTCCCAGTGTGGGGGGAGAGTAGATGCTTTGGCTTTGCTAAAGACATCAGCAAAGTTGTGGTAGTCCTTTGGTACACTGGCCAAGTCCAGTGGAGGGCTGGTAGAGGCTGACTGGGCCAGGACTGGGTCCAGTGGGTGTAGATGAAGCTGGAATTGGGTGGATCCCTCTACCTTGCAATCACATATATATGCAGCTGCATTGATCAGGGCAATAGGGGGAGCCTTCAGGGTGGTGCAAACTGGTGAGTTGACAGATGGTACAGATGGTGCAGGGCTGGGGTTGAGCTGGTCAGGTAGACTGGGATTGGGAAGACCAGTTAGGACTGGTGTGGCAGGGGGTGTTGATGGGGTTGGCATTCTTCCTGAAGATGTCTGGAAAGTTAGACTGCTCAGTACCCAATCAATCAATGGATTGTAGCAGGTAAGCCAGTCATGTCCAAGGACTATCTTACATTCAGAATCCAACAAGGCTAGAAACAGGGTTACCAGGGTGACATTGCCAGTTGCAAATTGAACCAAAAGATCTACCACTTGAGTGATAATGAAACTTGACAACCCACCAAAGAGCCAGAGTTGGATAGGGGACATGGAAGGGGCAAAAGAGTGTTGATTAACAAATTCTTTATCTATGAAGCTATGTGTGGAACCAGAGTCCACTAGTGTATGAAACTGGGGCAAACTGTGACTGACAATAGAAACATGGGGAGTTAATGAATTTGGATTAGAAAGAGTGGATGCATTGAGACAAGCCTCTGTGAGTGCACAGCCAGAGTCAATGCACCTCTCAGTCTGTGTGGAGTCCTGAGAGCTGCTACCTATTTTTTTGCCTCAGGGGCACAGCCTGAGGTTGAGGCTGGTGTTGCCTCAGCAGTGGCTGCAGCATGAGCTTTGGCTTTCCCAGCTTTCTTGGGACACTTATCTGCAAAATGTCCAGTGCCCCCACAGAACATGCAAAGGTTGTTATCTCTGCAACACTTGTGCTCCTCTGGTGTCAGCTTGGCATCTTTTCCCAACTTGCTTGAGTCTGGCTTGGGTATGTTAGAGCTGGCCTGACCAGTTGAGGTGGATTTAGCTGAAGACTGGTTACCAGAGTTGCCATTTCCAGAGCTATCGCCAGTCTTGGATTTCTCTTGACCAGGCTTAGACTGGTTGTTGTGGCCAGGGTTGGGAGTTGACTTGTTACCAGAGGACAACTCCTGGTGCTTACTGGACTGCTGAACCTCCTCTTTGCATTCCCAGTAGTGCATGTCAATTTCTTGAGCTAAATGATGAAGCTTGTGCAGGGTTCTAGGTTTGCCAACCCAGCAGACCTTATCCTTGATACAGTCAGGGAGACCAGTGTGAGTCAAAGTGTGGTTCAGTGGTGAAAACCAACCAAAACCAACACAAAAGACAAAAAGAGTGAGTGGTGGTGTGCCTATGCAGTACCTAGATGGTAGAACCTTTGATTTGGGTGGGTTTTTGTGAGCTACAACACTCAGAGATGAGTGCTGATGGTTGGGGGTGCTCCTGATGAAGAGGGAGCAAGAATGCAATAGATTGTGATGGGGTAGACTGCTGTCAGCCTACAGAAGGATGGATGATGACTTAATTTGATGCTCTGAGCTGGACTGAGCTCAGGGAGGACTTGGAGCAAAGCTGATTGATGATAGATGATGATAAGTGAAGTAGATGATAGTTAGACCCTTAATAAAGTCTCAACTATCAAAGCTGCTGAATGAATTACTGAGAGGTGATAAATTGCAGGCAAGAGGGGCTCTCTGACATCTTCCTCTTATTCAGCTATCTAAGTACAGTGATTTATATACAGTACAGGGGCATTGCCTGCCTATGGAAAACAAGGTGCAAACACTTGGGAAGTGATTGGTAACTGATGAGTAAGGAATGTAAGCAATGGGTAATTGTCTTAGAAAACATTGGTAAGCATAATGCAAAGAATCAGTAAGCAAGGTCAAAAGATTGGTAAGTATTGGCAATAGGTGAGTCAAGGACAGTCAGAATGTCAAAGTATGAGTCAAGTAATGTCAGGAACTGGGAAAGCACACTGAAATCACATTAGGGGGAGGCTGTGCATGTCACATCTTGAAGAGATCACTTCTAGGCCAAGGTGGGATGACAGAGAGGCAGCACTGATCTGATGCTGATATAATACATCCAAAAGTGGACAGGGTGAGTCAGATGTTAACAGGGGTCAAGCTTTGGGGGTCTGTGGGGTGACAGGAGCATAGGGGATCACAACTTTCCCCCCCCCCCCAAACCATCCTCTCAGTGAAGCAAATAAAAACTTCATGAACAAGGCTCTGTTGGTAGAGAGGATGAAGGGGGAGTGTCTTCTGCTGTATCTTGCAACAAGGAGGCAAGATGTGCATCATACTCATCATGGATGTGATCAGGGAGAGTGGAGAACAGTAGATTATACTGTAGCTGTCACAATTTTGGAAGAATGATGGACAAGACTGGTATGAAGATGTTGCAGGGAGCAGGGAGGAAGGATCCATATGCTTCTTGGACTGGAGAGACTGAAATGACCACATATGACCTTTCCAAGCACATGACAGACCTGAGGTGACCAAAGAACATCCTCCTAGAGGTCATACTGACAAAAAGAATGCACTGTCCAAGCTGGATGGGCTGAGAGGGGGCAGATGAGGGTGGGATGTACCAGGACACTTCAGGATGGAAGCTGGTAGGAACTCCTGGTAGATATACATAGCCATGGTCCCTAGCAAAGGGGACAAGTGAAATGATTGATGTGGAGGTGGCCATATCAGAGGAATTAGCAAAATGAGTGTCTTGTAGAGGGAGTGCTGTAGAAATGTGTGGAGTGTGCAGATCCTCTCCAATTTTGGAAGGTAGGATCATGTGGCTGAGCACTACAAGTGAGTGTGGGAATGGTTTCAGTATTTGCAGCAATGGCAGAGATATGTCAAAACCTGGAATGCTGTACATGGGTCTTAAGAATTTTTATTGGTGCTTAACTCACTTCCTTCCTTTTTCTTTGGCATTGATGACTCATTCTTGTGTGAGGGATGACTGCCAACATTTCTGGCTGTCCTTCTTTGCATGAGGGCTATGGTCTTCATCTCCATTCATCAGCTATATCCATGTTCACCTCACCAAACACCTTTGGTGTGTGACAATGCAATTGTTGGTTCCATCTCAGATTCAAAGTGCAACTTAGGCATCAAACAATCTTCAAGCTTCCAGCCCTCCTTGTCATCAAGATGCTTGTTGCAGAGAAGCTGATAACCTTGCTGGTAACCCTCCTGAGACATGACCCTCAGTAAATTGTGGTCTACCAGGCCAAAAGTATCTGAGTGGACCATATGAGGACTGTTGCCTCCTGGAATGCTCCAATAACTGAAACCTTCATGACCAGAACACCATAATATGCAAGAATAACTTGATCAGCAAAAGTACTGTCTTTCTTGATGCAACCCCAAGGAAACTGTTTGAGAATGGCTTGAACAAGGGGTACTTTTTCCATGTGAAACTAGATGTAGCTGTGCATGAGTGAATATCACTGCAAATGGATGGCAGGTCATGACTCCTTGTTTTTAGTGCAGAACAATTTGTGGTTTTGAGCTCCAAACTGACCATTTTTCCACTCAGCTGTATGACACTTGGGAAGATGTTTGGAACAATGGATTGGTCAAAACTCAAGAGAGGCATACTGACTTGTTTGGAACAGAATACTATGGACTTACATCCTGAGCACATGAGAGGCTATCAGACATGATCAGTACCAGCATAAGTGATTTATGATGGCAATGCCAGACCTTTTGATCAAGCATAGGCATATCACAATGAAAGCAAGTAGCTAGGGGAGAAAAATCAAGCTTTTCTGGCTGCCCACCAGGATGAGTCACTTCTCTCCTGAGCTCTTTGGCAGGTTTGTAGGTTATATGGTCCATCTCCACAAGGGAGGGCACAGCATTGCAAAGTAAGGCTTGCATCAACTCCATGGGGTGTGGACTGATGATTTGAGATGTGGCATTGAGTTGGTCAGCATAATATATAGCATCCACCAGCTGCATTTGAGACCACAAACATGTTTTTAGAGTTTGCAGATCTGTCAAGGACATCTGGCTTGTGGATTATAAGGGGAATTCACAGCACACTTTCATGCCATTTTCATTTTCATTTTGGACATGCCCACTCAAAAACAATGCAAAAACAGCACTTCAACATCTTCACAGATGCCAGTGCTGACTCAGCATGTCAGTCATCATTTCCCCATCATGCATGTTATACCACATACACATCATATCCTTTTAGTAGATTTCTTCTGGGTCTATGCCCCATAGTATTAAGCTGAGGTTATCTCTGGCAACTCCACCCCAGAAAAAAGAGCTGAAGAAGCCTGCTGGTCATGGCAGAACAGTAACCCCATGCACACCTCTCAATGGTGTTGAAGACAAGTCCAAAAAAGAGAACAGAGTGACCAACAGGTGGAAAAAGCATGGTATTCTTGTACTGTAAGTCCATTCAGGTCCTGCTAGACAAGCTATTGATTGGTGGCAGATGGAAAAAGCAGCCTCAGCTCACTGATGAGCTGCTCACTCTTGTCAAGAGTAATATGAAGTGGATGGTGGCTTTTGGCTTTGACAAGTCATCTGCTAGCAGTGGGCTCACTATCATTGAGTGCTGTGCCCAGATTGCCTGAGCCCTATTCATTACAGACAAACCTGGCACACCATTTGGACCAGCAGATCTAAAAAAGCTGACAGAAGCTGTGAAAAATCATATTTCAAGGTGAGTCATGTAACTTGGTTCATTTGATGATGTTCTGAGTGTTCATTAGCCTTCACACAACTTACAATGACTACTTCAAGCAGCTTGGTGAGACTGGGCATGGTCTCATTGTTTCAGACCATGAACATGAAATTACACCTGTGTCTGAGATCACAAATGCCTATGGTAAGTGTTGGTAAGTGTTGTGGACATGTACTCAACAAAAATTATGTGGCATCTTCAGATCTCATTAAAGTGAAGTTTCTATGGTATCAATGGATGCATGAGCTTTCAGGCACTAGCCCCATAGCTAGTCATGTAGCCATATCCAACAGTACTTCATCTCTTGACCTCCCTGTTCTTGACAGATTTGAGAATGATGCTGATGTCTTTGATGAAGGTGGAGACATCACTGAGGTATTCTGTTACTATGTACATGTGTGATCCATAACTGATTTGATGTGATCAAATGTTCTAGAGTGCTCCCCATGACTCATCACCATTGAACAACTCCCATCTTGGGTCTCCTGGGTTTGATACTGAATGGCCACCTAGCAAGGGGGAGGTGACTGCCCCATTGTCCATTCCTGAGCCCAAGGTGAAGCTCACAGTGAAACATCCTGCATCACCTTGCACAGACCACTCTTCAGTCAAGAGGAAAAAGACCCCACAGGAGCTTGCATGTGAGATTGTGGAAGGTGAGCATGCAGCTCAACTGCAGATGAGTCTCAATAGTGCAAAGGAGATGACTGGATGGGGGCATATCAAGAGGGAAGCTGCATGAGAGATGGCACTTGAGATTGAGCAGCTCCATCTCAAGCATCAGCAAGAGGGGGATCATCAGCAAGCACATGAGCTCATGATGATGGACAGGCAGATTAGGCTTGAGGAACTCTGAGCTGGGTTGGGTTCTACTAGTATGCACCCTTCTGTTATTGATCCCCAACTTTCCAAATAGCTTCTTTGTCACTTACTATACAAAAATTCAAATAGGCTTTTCTTTAATTCTTCCCTTTTAATTTTCCCCTCCAATAGTGCAACATCCCTTGACTCTTCATGTTTGTCCTCCATTCTCCCTGCATTTTCTTCACTTTCACCATACCATTCAGCATACCATTGGGCCTCCTTCTCCATAATATGAATCCCATTACAATAGAATGTGTCAAGGTCACACAACACCCTGGCTTCCTCTTAGGGCAGAGTAGGAGCAGGTTGGGCTGCAGAGTACAGCAGTCAAAGTCTGAAGCAAATCCAGCCACTGGGTGGTGAGATATGCAACAAACAGTGAGCAGAGGGGTATGGAGGAAAGTTTCAGAGGCAGAGGTTGGAGGTCAGAGGTTGGAGGTCAGAGGTTGGAGGTTGGAGGTTGGAGGTCAGAGGCCAGAGGTCAGATGAGAGGGTGTTGGGTTCAGCTAGTGTGCTGCCCCCTTGTGTGAGCTCAGCCCTCATATTTCAGAGGTGGAGTGGACTCAGAGGGAGTGGAGATGAAACTCCAGAGCAAACTCAGAGGGAGTCAGAAGTGGAGACTTTATTCAATATTCATACTGATTACATGGAGTACTACATGGCCTTATATATGATGTAGGTCAAGGGCAGTGCAGCATAGAATGCAAACCAATAAGTGTATAACAGGTTAGTAGTCCCTCTGACACAAGGGATAGAGGATAGGGACAATGGGGACCTTAACTGAGACAAGGAAACTACTACAACAAGGGAGAGAGGGTAAACACCAAAGAAGCAGAAGAATGGAGAAAAACCAACATGAGGGCAGAACCCTATCTGGAATGCAGGGCCACAAGTCCAACAGCCTGCTGAGCTGACCAAGGCCTCAGAGGAAGCACAGATGAAGGTCTGGCCTCCACATGACCAGCCTGAGGGCAGAGTTGAGCAGAGTTGGTTGGAACATGGACAGGGGACCTTGGAGAGGTGTGGAGATGTGTCAGGAGGGTCAGAGGAGTGTGGGAACATGTCAGAAGAGGGCAGAGAAGCATGGGAACATGTTGGAGGAGGTCAGAGAAGCATGGAACATGTTGGAAGAGGGTGGAGTAGGTGTTAGGGGCTTATGTCAGTGTCATGGTCATGACAGAATGAGTCAGTTGAAGTGTTAATGCCTGTTTCATGCCCTGTTGCAAATGCATGCAGATGGATAAAAGAGATGATCCACAGCACTGCATACTTGATATGATCCTCATTGTTGATGTTGACTTGGAGTCCACAAAGAGATGACCAGTGACCTTTAAGGAACCCAACACAATGTTCAGAGCAGATACATATCCTTGAGACATAATAGTTGTGAGTCTTGTTCTCAGGGATATCCTGTTCTGGCCTAGAAAAATAAGATGTGCCACAGTATTGCTCAATGCTGGCAGCTTACTTTTTGTAGGGTGCTTGGCACCAGGTATGCAGGGGACATGCAGAATCACCCCATATGAATTCTCCATCATCCAACAAGATGTTGTGGTCCTTTGCAAAGTGAGTATCAGAGAAAGCTGTTGCATCATGCTGACTACCTGGTAAGCCAACAACATAGTCAATGATCTGAAGATCAGGGGTTGATACAATCTTGAAAATATTAAGAGGAGTCAAGGATCAGTTGAAAAGATGACATACCTGAACATTGAGTGAGTAATTTGACTTCCAATCAAACCAAGTATTTCCATAAGAACCAGGTCAGGCATGCAAAGGCACCAAGGTCCCATCAACCATGCACTAACCATCCCATCATGCAGGGCAGGAGTGCTCCTCCACCCAGGCCTTGGCTTTCTCCTTCATGTCATCATCAGGCCAGTGAAGTGCAGATCTCCAAAACCTTTCTGAACACACCACCATCATAACACAATTAGTCACCAGGCATACTGTACCATAACCAATGCCAGCCCAAAGGGCAACTTTCACTGTTGTTGCACCATTCCCATAGCACTGAAAGCAATACAGTGCAATGGCAACCTGGTCTTGAACTGTCATCTGCTCTGAAGTTGACTGGTTGTGAAAAACTGGATCCTCTTGAAGAGCCTTGACTAGAAGGTCAAAGCATGCTGGAGTGACACCAAGATGGGATCTGAAAATCTCAGGATGATTGAATTTCCAATTGCCAAGAAGCAACTCCAAGTTGGCACTTGTCTTTTTGATGGGTTGACAATTGGCCAGGTAATGTTGCAAGTACAATCCTGGAAGGGCATTCAACACAGCACTACTGGCTGAGGAGGCACCATACAGGTGTTCATCAGATGATTCAGATCTTGCACTCTCAGAACCACTGGAATTGGAGTCAGAAGAGGTTGGAGGATCAAGGTATGAGTGAGATTCAGCAAGTAGAGTAGCCAGATAGACATCAAGAAGGGCTTCTTCAGCTTTCTGCCTTTCTGTGGTGTGAGGCATATGGTTTCTGATGACTTGTTCAAGATAATTAACATGTTTTATCTACATATATTCAAACTTGGGAAGTGCCACCTGTGTCAGTGCTAACCTTGCTTGCTGTTTGCATCTTACTCATGGGGAGATAAGTTTTATAGTACCTTTTACAGCATGTAGTCTATGCTGCACCATCTACAAATAGCATTCATCATCCATAGTGTAAATCCAGTGCTCTAGTCCAATGAGTACCAACAGCAATCTAAGTTGGCAGAAAATGATTGGCTAGATGGACTAGATTTACACACAAAGTGCATCAGGAAAATAACACATTGACTATTTTGACTATTTTGTGACTATTGTGACTATTTGTGACTTTTTTTGAAGGAATCTACTACCTGTGCTTTTTTTTGACCACACACAGCATTGAAGAATGAAAAGAGAATGGAATCTATTAAGACAACTCAGGAATACTAAGTAGATGATATATCTAAGCCAAGAAGACTAGAAAATATCTCAAAATTTAGAGATATTGAGCCATTGGTGTGATACACACTCTCAGACAAAAATCAGTGAGAACAGTGCAGTCATACCTGTTGGAGATGGGTAACATACCTGTGGGAACAACCAACAACCTCAGGGGCCAGTGTTCCCACAGGTATGATTCCCATGTCCCACAGGCATGGTAGCACTGTTCTCACTGATTTTTGTCTCAATCAAACCACCTGATTCATAGCTTTCAGTAGATACCACATTGATGGAGGTTTCAAAGAGATATTGTGATTTTTCTCTCAGAGAGTGTGTATCACACCAATGGCTCAATATCTCTAAATTTTGAGACATTTTCTAGTCTTCTTGGCTTAGATATATCATCTACTTAGTATTCCTGAGTTGTCTTAATAGATTCCATTCTCTTTTCATTCTTCAATGCTGTGTGTGGTCATGTCATAATTGTGTGTTCATCCTAAGTCCTCACTCACTCCACACCCCTTTCCACCAGTCATTCACTCACTCCACACCAACTCTGCCTGCCCCCTGACATTTACAAGTCATCTCCACTCTGACTGCTGTCAGACTTGTACTGCTCTCCTACTGGACCAAGTGGACCATTCTCTGAGGGGTCATGTGACTACCTTCAGACTCCTCCCTGACAGCTCACAGTCAGGTACTCCACAGTGTGTGCACCACATGGTCCAGTGCCTGGACTGTTTCCTTTTCTGGATGTTCTATATTACCCATTCATATGTCCTCCATCTACCCTTCATTCATCATCTAGGAAGTTTTACTTGAAAATTTCTGGGTCTCCATATGTCAGTTCCAATTCCAGTTACTGTACCTCCATAGTAGTATAAAAGCATGTATCATACTCTGCCATTCCTCAGTATAAATATCGACTTAGTTCCTACTCCTTCTGTCTCTGTCTTCTGCCTGTCAGAGTTACCTCCAACTGTCCATCTATACTCCCCCTCTGAAATACAAGGGCTGAGATCATGCAAGGGGATAGTGCATGAGCTAAACCCAATGCCCTCACTTTGCTCTGCCCTTACCTTCAGTGGACTTCATTCTTGCCAACACTCTGCCAGTCAGAGTCCTGCTCTTTCTGTTGGACTTGCTTCCAAACCTCTCCCCAGACCTCATCCAGCATTGGAGTTGGTCGGAGTAGGCCTGGACTTGACAGTATATTCATACTTGCACTTGTATGATCTCATTTTCTGTCTTCTGAAAAACTTACACCATTATGAGAACTCAAGCTCAATCCCAGAGAGAGGTCACTGAGAACCTTGCTGTTGCACTAGCTAATCCACATCAACTCCCTTCCATTGTTGAACAGTTCCAGTCATTCTCCACTTGATGCTGCTCTCGCACTGAAGGCAAAAGTGCTTCACAAGCTGGTCACTCCAACCTCCATCCAACCACTTTCCATACTCTGTCTCCTCATAACTGAGATGATGGACCCAACCCTGATGACCCTGATGGTGATCCCAACAGTGGGGGCAGTGGTGATGGGGATATCCCTGAAGACCCAGCTGAGCTGCCAGAGGATCCCCTTGTAGCTCTTGCTAGGGCTGTCCATGTGCTTGTGCAGTCTGGTTTGTGCACTGGGGACTCCACTCTGAAAACCAAAGTCCATGAGCCTTCAACAGCTCTGACCCTAAGAAACTCCATGAGTTCCTCATACAATGCAAGCTGAACTTCCAAGACCACCCCCATGCATTCCACTCCAACAGAGCGAAGGTTACCTTCACTCAGTCTTATCTTAAGGGTATGGCTCTGGCTTGGTTCAAGCCAGACCTACTAAACCCTGACAATTATGACCACCCACTCTGGATGGATGACTATCACAAGTTCTTACACAACTAATTTTGGTCCACATGATGCCATAGTGGATGCCATCCAACAACTTGAAAACCTTACTATGAAAGACAGTTCTCA